TAAAAAATGTTGAGAAGCCCAAATTGCCCAAACTAGTTTGGGCTTTGAGAAAACAGTTTGGACCAGAAACCTTAGTGGTTTCTTGTAGAATGATATCACAATACAATGGTGAAGAACCATATGGCATTAAAAATATTATGTGTGTTCTTACAAAAAGCATTTGTATTCAATGCTTTATTGTATCAGATTATTATGATGAAATTTATGAACAGTTTCTAAAAGAAATGAATGAATGGTTGAAATCTTCCAAATTGAAGTATAAAGAAGATGTTGTTGTAGGAATTGAAAAGATGCCTGAAGCTTTTTTGGGACTGTTGAATGGTAAAAATTTTGGTAAACTGATTGTTAAAGTTGATAAAAATACAAAATTGTGATTTAAAATTTATTTTTATAATTATGTATAATCTCATTCACTTATATATTAAAGATTGCTGTTGCTTATTACTAAACAATATGTTTACTATCATAACTATGTAAAATCTTCATTATACATGGGATGGTAATTATTTTGCCAAAAACGTAATACGTAATACGTAATACGTAATTACGAAATTAATTACGAAATTAATTACGGGTGACGAAATTAATTACGGGTGACGAAATCAATTACGGGTGACGAAATCAATTACGGGTGACGAAATCAATTACGGGGGACGAAATCAATTACGCGTGACGAAATCAATTACAAATGACGAAATTAAATGACACCTATTATTTCAGTTTCTCCTATTAGTATGAAAATATCCCATTGAGGACCATAATTGTTCTACTGAGGCTGAATTTACACAAACAGCGTGAATACGAATAGCCACTTTTGCTAATTCAGGCCCAACTCCAATTGTTGACTCCCAAAAATTCAAAACATTTCCTTTAAATTGCAAAAAAGAATCATAATCATATGGATCATTCCCTCTTCTATAATCAATCAATTCTGCTAAAATACTAGTTGCTGGTTTTCCACAAAAGGCATGATAATAATACTTCAGCCACTGACCAACATGTGTCCATGATAAATTGTTTATAGTTGGTCTAAATTTTGATAATTTATAAGAAGGATGAAGAATAATGGAAAGCAACAAAATTGGTTGCTCCCAACCCTTCCACCTCTTTTCAATTCTAGAAACCATTTTTTCAGAAAAGTCCAAATCATGATGCATAGAAAAAATGTGTAATGTATATGCAAAGCAATGGACCACTTCATAAAGTCTTGCAGCATCCTTTTGTAATTGATTGAGAAAACAACACAAAGGATATAATAGATTTTGTAATGAAAATAGCTTTGACCAAAATACTGGATCGTTAATACTATCTACAATATCATCAGGTAGCTGACATTTGTTATTTCTAGTTGTTCTTCTGTCCACTGGAATATTAGGAATACCATTTGTACGAGTGACATTTACATGATCAGGATTAAATTTTGCTGCTGGGAACTATGAAATGGAGAGTTTATTTATTATATAAAGTATTAAAATACTATAAACATAGTAATTAAATTAAAAAATTACTTTTAATGCTGCCTGAGTCTTTAATACAGAATTAAAACAAAAATAATATGAATTCCATCTAGTGTCACTAGGTAAAGCCAATTTTATTGATTTTTTATAAATCCTTATTTGCTCATCTCGAAGATTACCCATAAAATAACCAGATTTATGGAAAAAACTAACAATCCGAACTGCCTCTTCAGATATTCTTTCAAAAATAGGACTTTCTTTAAATATTTCAGCAAATACCAAATTCATCTGGTGAGCCATGCAAGGAAGAAATATTTTATCAGGATATTTTCTTCGTAAAATTTTTCTAATTTAAATTTAAATTGTAAAAATTAATGTAATATATGTAAAATTTGAATCAATAGTTATTTTAATCACACACCTGGCTGCAACATACTCCCCAGCAGAATCAGATATAAATGCTGTAACATTTATATTTTTATCATTAAGTTCATTCATCAAGTTTTCAAAATGATGTATGACATCTTGTGTTTGTGATCTTTCAGAAGTAGTTTCTTGAGCACCCCAGATTAATGGTTTCCCATTTGATGTAACCAGTACTACTCCCCATAGCTTCTTTTGTTTTACATTTGACCAACCATCAACAGCAACAGTTACTCCATTTTCATCTGATTGAGCAATTTTAATGATTGATTCTTGTAGATTTTTAGATGTGTTTAGCAAAATTTGTTCACCAAGTTTTTTACATGTTGGAAGTTCAATGCCAGGTGCCAAAAAATTAAAAAATGTTTTGGTATCCTCATTTTCTATAAATGAAAAAGGTAACCATTGGACACACACATCCTAAGAATCAAGTTTTCTAAATAAGGGATATCTTTCTGAGACATTGGTCTTTGAAGGTAACCAGAAATCAATGGTTGTTTTTGAATAATTGATGATGCTGTTGAAGTATCATTTGTAATATTTTTTTGACATTTAGGTTTGTTCTGTTCAACTTTATTATTTATTTATTGAAATTATATTATCATTTATTAAAATTATATTAATTATCATTTATTAAAAATAAATATTATATTATCATTTATTAAAATTATATTATCATTTATTAAAAATAAATATTATATTATTAATTAATCATTACCTACATCATTATTATTATTTTTCGATTTTCTTTTCTCTTCTGCTACTGGGCATGATAAGATTCAGATATTTCATCATTATTGAATGCATTTTTAAAATCAATGCAATTTGATAAATGAGAATGACAAAAAATTGCTTTATTTGTTGTATAACATCCAGGTATTAAAGCTGCAGCTTGAGCACCACCATTTTTTTTACTACAATACTTGCATACTGCTCTTGCATTAGTTTTATTATTAGGATTATTTATTAAAATAAAAAATTCTCTGTAACAATGTGGATTAAGCATTCTTTGTTAAGTATTTAATTTTTTTTTACTTGCTTCAGGTAAAGTGGTGTTTTTTTTACGAGAAGTTTTGGCATTAATTGAACATCTTTATAAAAATATTTAAAGTAAAGGTATTTTATATTGGGAAACGTTCTGTTAATTGATTGGCTAATTTATGACAAATGACAAATGACTGATGATCATAGTATATGACCATTGGTCATAATAGTCATATGACCAGGTCATTTAGAACAAATGACAAATGACCGATGACTGCATGTCATATGACTAAATGACTTGGTCATTTGTCATAAAGGGTATATGACCTTGTCATATGCCAACACTGAATTTACCAGTTAAAATTCCACATGACTAAATTAACTGGTTAACTCTTAATTTTAACAGTTAATTAATCAAAGAATTTTTGCGCAGTGTCAACCTCTAGTTATATTACTGGCGATTTTTCCCGTTATGGAATAATCACGTGATAGGCCGATATCCGAAAATCACATGAACGCAATAGAAATTTTTCGACTGTATCGGAGGCGTCTTGCACTATATAGTTGGCTCGGTCTAAAGACCTCCTAAATTTTGGGCAAATTTTAAAAGTATAGAAGTCACTTTCTGTCCTATCTTTTAAAAAAATAGCATTATTAGTTGATAGAATAGGTCTTTAGTTTTAATGTAATAACGAGATATTCTCAAAAAAATTATTTGCTATAGAGTTCTATTCTTTTTTAAAACATGTACTTTACTATGCTCGCAAGGAATTTGACCGCTAGGATCATTACTAAATTTATACTAGTTTAATATATATCATTGCTAAATTTAGACTAGCGCACAAAAATCACATCTAAATTTGGAAGTATGGTAAATAATTCTTAAAAAATTTTAGAACCAAATCACGTGAAGACCCATTTTTGAAAATTTTATTGCATTTTTGAACGAATCACGAAATCACTATTTTTGAAATTTGGCCGCGAGGCGCAGCAATAGGAGGTCTTTAGACCGAGCCAACCATACATTTTCTAGTTTGAATATCATTGACAAGAAATGTCTGAACATTTAGTTGTGAATTTACCAAGAACTCTGGTTTTAATTATCACGACTTTTATATATATATACGGTATGTAGTATCAAAAATAGATTTCAACAAACCTTTGTAATATTAGCTGGAAAACTATTAGAGCAAACATTTAGAAATAAGCATTGCTCAATTTTTGAATATTTAGAATAGCCAGACGGTAATAGAAAAGAAAAGATGGAAGAAGTAAAAAGAGACAGAAGAAATTGCTTTCCTTGATGAACCAATACCAAATTCAAAAAAAGGTAATCATAAGGGATTTAAGCCTAATGAATTCACCATTAAAGAGGTCTAGCATTCATTTTAATACTAATCGTAAATGAAAAACTGGAAACTGGTAGTCATCTTCTACAAATATTTTAATCGATTCTAATTTAATGTTTTTAAAAGGAATATATATAAATTTTATTTATAAAATAACAATAAATCTATATGTATAAATAAATATAACAAAATTTTATAATGTACACTTTATATATATACTAATAAAATTAAAAATACTTTTTATATTGGCTTCATGATTTCACTATAAATAAGTTCTAAAATAGAAAAATTAAAATTAAAATATTAAATCATAATTATTTTCTTTTTGGAAAAAAACAACAAATATATAACTTACGTTTTAATTGTTCTTTGGTCAATTGATCTTTGTGTTTATCAAAATCAAAGAAAGATTTGGGAATTGGGTCAGCATTTGGTTCATCTTCAATATCATGATACTAGAAGGAAAGGAATGTGAAAATGAGAGAGAGGTTGTGGAAAGGAAGTGGGAAATAATTATTAATTTAATAAATAAGCACACTTATAATTATACTTACAAATTCCAAATATGGATGTTTTAAGGCATCTTCAGCGGTGATTCTTTTTGAAGGGTTAAAAGTTAACAACTTCTCCAACATATTTATAGCCAATGGGTTTGCATTAGGAAGCATATGAGAAAATGGAACTCGTTTTTTAAATGGTAAACTTCTAATATAATCACGTGCCTGTAATATATGGCATCGAGGATAACAATGTTAATATTATTTTAAATAAATTGATTTATTTATTGATCGATTAATCAATCAATTACCCTTCGACTTTTAATTCCATAAAAATCTTCCATTGTTGGTGTTCCAAGAACATTAAGAATTAAAGCGAGCTGGTGATTATCTGATTTTATTTTTTATGGAAAATTAAAATAAAAATTAATTTCGTTTCTACATAACAATAATAAACAAAATAAATATATAATTAATAATTACAATCTCTTCCAGGAAACAATGGTTTTCCGCTCAACATTTCAGCCAAAATACAACCAACAGACCAAATGTCAATTGCTTTGGTGTATTCTTTAAATGTTAACATAATTTCAGGCGCACGATACCATCTTGTAGCAACATATTCTGTCATAAATCCATTATGTTCATCACTAGAATTTGCACTTCTTGCAAGTCCAAAATCACATATCTATTAAAATTTTATTATTATATGTAATTTATAACTCTGAATATTTTCGCGTATTTTTTTTTTTATATTATTAACCTTTAAATCACAATTAGCATTCAATAAAAGATTACTTGGCTTCAAATCGCGATGAAGTACATTAGCAGAATGTAATGCTTTCAAACCACGAAATGCCTGATAAATAAAGTACTGACAATGATCATCACTCAAATTTTGTGTTCGAATTACTCGATGCATATCAGTTTCCATGAGTTCTTGGATAAGATAACTTGTAAAATATCAATAAAATTTAAAATATGATTAATTTGATCTGAACTAGACATAAAGGAAATAGAGGAAGAAAAGTTACCACTCACACTTCAGTAAATTTGTCAAAACTTTCTGGCTTCACAATATCTAAAATAGCAATAATCTAATAAAGAATATATATATATATATTTAAATTATTTTTTAGAATTTTTAGAATGTGTGTATGATACTAACATTTTCGTGATTAAAATATTTTAAAAGTTTTATTTCTCTAAGCGTACGCAAACAAAACATGGAATGGTCAAAAGGAGTTATTTTTTTGATGGCAACGTTTTGACCGGTTGGTTTATGTAGAGCCGAACTATAAAATTTTTAACAAAAAATATAAATTATCCAGAATTAATTTATTTCTACTTCAATTATAAATAAAATGTATAAATACCAAACAACTCCGTAAGATCCTTCTCCTACAGCGTCTATAACTTCATAATCTTCTCCAACATTGAAATTTGATTTTCTTTGAGGACTTATATTGCTCATTTTGTTTTACTTTAGTTGAAAATTGTTTTTTTTAAATTTTAATTTAAGGTTTTTGAAAAAAAGGTGTTGGTGATGATGTTTTGCAAATATAATGTCTTGAATAATTATTTAATGAATTGTTTCAAAGGAATGAAGCCATTACTTATATAATTCCAAAAAAATTACAAATTTTTAGAATATCTAAAGAAGTTACACGTAAATAAATATTTGATATTGATTAAGTTGTTTGTCGTATATACATGCATTCATTTTATTAACTATTAATTACCAATAATATGACAATAACGTGTAAAGAAAAGTTTACTGGGACAAGCAGGTAACGTAACCTTGTTTATATAATTATTTATTTCAATTATTATAATAATACAAAAATTAATAAATGATTGGTTCATAGAATAGAGAGTGCTACCGGCATTACCAAATTTATTTATTCAAATTAATTATGCTTATTGTTTTCATGAACATTTTAGTTTACGCGAGATAAGAAAATACTTGCTTTTGGTGTAATTTAAAATACTCGCACATTTTATGAATAGGAATTATGACAAGCTAATTAATTCAAATAATTTACATAAAAAAGTGAGTTTAAAATACCAAAATAAAATTATTTCAATCTTCCTAAAAAATTTATTGTTTCCGTCTAATAAATAGGTCATCAATACTCACCCATCTTAATATTAATACAAATCATAATTTCTGGCCCGAGCTTGACCTTTCCTTAACCCTTAACCTGTTACGCACAAAATTCCAAATCTTGTATTAATATTTATATTAATTACAAAGTTCAGTAAGCCCAGCTGCACCAAGCTCTCTTCCACCAGATGCACTTAAACATGAGATCGAAAAATAATAGGCAGCAAGTTTTGAAAGTTTTGTGTATTCATATTGATATTTTTTTGCCATTCTAGAATATCCTTTTGTATTTTCATTGATAAACACAATCCAGCCAAACGATATAACAACTTCTGCTTCTTTCTAGATATAGTTGCCGGACATGGAGGTAATTATTATTTAATAGATCCAATTTTGGCAATACTTGCGCTAGTTCTTGAAACCCAAACCCACAAGGTCGTAAACCTTTGCAAAAAATTAACATTTTTTTTGGTTGCATCTTTAATTTTTGTAGGAACTTCTTGGATAAATGTCAGACGGATATTTAGTATTCTAGTAAATGTAGTGGCTAATTTGAGGATTCAAGTTAAAATTGTTATTCATAGAATTACTAGTAATGGTAATATATTTTTATATTTAAAATTTAAATTTGACAGTAATTAAAAAATGATAGAATTATTCCTATTAATTTACATCAGGTCCACAATGGAACGCAAAAATTACATATCAATAGAAATAATATTACTGAAAATTAATTGACAACAAATAGAATTGGATACAAGAACCAAAGAAAAATAGCATCTGTTAGAGAAATTAAAAAAGGAAATCTAGAAAACATTTTTGACCTTATAAAAAAATCCATAATAATAAAAAAATAGGTTGTAATAATAAATTTTATTATAGTGTTTTAAATCCACCTTGATACCAAACAAGAAAGAGCACCAACTGTTACATGGGTTTTGATTTCCTCAACCAACTCACATGCGTAAAATAAATGTTTTGATTTCTCAGCTATTCAAATTATAAAAAACCAGTGACAATCCAGGATGATGATAATAATGTTTTTATGAGACATAGCAAAAAAACAACTGAGCACTTTAAATAAATAAAAGTAGTAACAAGTATAGCTGAACTGTCACCAAAAGAACTAATTATCAGTAGATTCCATTTAAGAGTTAAATAAATGCAGCTCCCATTTGTTCCAGGATACAATAATTTTCTATCCATCCCACGGAAAACTGAAGTATTAATGTCAGAGAATCAGTAGTTATTAAGGTTTCCAGTCCAAACTGTTTTCTCAAACCCAAACTAGTTTGGGCAATTTGGGCTTCTCAGCATTTTTTATAAGCACGAACATTAAAAACTATGCCAATCAACTTATTTTAACTTAAACAACTTTAAAGTAATTTCGTTAATAACAAAAAATAGGTTGGGCTTATAAAAAAGTAATTTTTGCCCAAAGTGTTTCGGCAATTTCTGCTACTAATAAAGAGAGTTTCGGCCAGAAATCTTAGTAGTTATAACTGGTTTTCTTCTTAATTATAAGTTCTTTGGCAATCATAGCATATATAAAATTAGCAGAGGCACTGGCTAATTCTTGTTCTAATTTATTATTATAAAGTTAATACAAAAACTATCCATCTTTACCACTTCTTAAATCTTTAAAAAATAATATACACATGCTCATCTAAGTTAGGCTAAATTATTTTCTTTCAATTTTCAGGTTCTTTATGAGTTTGCGTTAATGTTCTTTTATTATTTATGATTTTTTTAAAGTTCATAGGTGATTCTCTCTTTCCTTAGAGAATCACTTGATTTGAAATATGGAAAACAATTTTCTCGCCTTGTTCCTCTTTCAAAATGCTTCTAATAATGCTGTAATTCTTTGATTCTATAGTAGATCTGATGTAAGTTAGTTTTGTATTTATGTTTTTATTTATACTAAAAAAAAATAACAGATGAGATACTGTAAAATTGTTATGTTAGCAGTAGAATGGTAATGATTTATTGTTTACATCTCACCTTTAATTTAGACCAAAAGTTATAAACATTATGTTTCTAATACATGTGATAATTCACATACAGTGCGGATCATCTATACTCAAAAGTTAAAATTTTTGAAATATTATGTGATCCACACATTGGATTTTAAAAAA